CGGGTCCCCTCGCTCCTCCCCGCACCGCCGCCCCCTCCGACCCCGCACTCACCGGCCCAGCTGGGGGTCAGGACCAGCGCCCCCGAGAGCAGCAGGAGGAGGGTTGGGGGCCTCAGGACCCGCATCCTCGGCGTCGGGGGACCGTCTGAGTCCCGGCGCTTCCGCGGAGCCGCGGGGACGCTGATTGGCTGCTCTAGAAGCCGCTCAGCCAATGGCAGTGATAAGCGGTCCCGTGTCACGAGTCTCCAGGAAGGAGGCATCAACAGAGGTTGGGAGAGGAGAAGTGAAACCAGGGCGCTGGGGAGTCCCCACCACGGAGCTGCCCCCTCCCAGACTCTGTCCCTGCGGAGCCCTGAGCGCAGGCCTGGGCCCTGGGACTCGGTCCTGCCCCTCCTCCTTCGCGGGGCGCCCGTCACACTGTCCCCGAGGCCTGACCCAGGCGCTTTGCTGTTCAGGGCCCTTCAGACATTTTGGTGTCAGAATCTCAGTGCAGCCTCACATAGGAGGCAGGACCCCAACATAATCTTGTTTGTGTGGGTTACGTCTGTCAATATGTACCACACGGGGAATCACACAGTTTGAAAAAATTGCCAAATCGTGTAGCATGTTAGTAACCTATGAGATCTTAACAGAAATAGTGTTTTTATGAAAAACACCAATTTCCCAGATAAACAAGGTGGTGAGAGGAGGGGACCTGCTTCCATTTTATGTCCTTGCCTGTCACTGGGAGACGCTGGGTTTTCACATTTGCTTCCGCATTTCATCTCTCCTTTCGCGGGCAATACATGAAAATACACGGCCTCAGAAATGTGCAGGAGGAGAGCTTTTTTAAAAATATGTTTTTATTGATTTCAGAGAGGAAGGGAGAGGGAAGGATAGATAGAAACATCAATAATGAGAGTGAATCATTGATTGGCTGCCTCCTGCATGGCCCCTACTGGGGATCAAGCCCACAACCCGGGCTTGTGCCCTTGACCAGAATTGAACCTGGGACCCTTCCATCCACAGGCCGGCGCTCTATCCACTGAGCCAAACCGGGTAGGGCCAGAGGAGAACTTTTCATAACCTTTTCCGGTAAGTGTGAACATTCACCTGTGATGGTCACTCAAACCACAGAAGAGGTCGTTTCTGAAAAGGGCTTTGCAAAGTGGAGCTTGAAACCGAGTGAATCTTTCCTGTTCCATTGTGTGCAGATCCCCAGGCTGTCCTGCTGGCTGGCTCTTGTCCTCATGCAGGGTGACTTGAATGTAACGCATGTTCCTCTAAGTCCTAGCAACCTCCCGCGGTTGAAGCCCTGGGAAGCTGTGCAGCTAACACGGTGGGACACAAGTTTTCCAAAATTCCGGTTTTCCA